ATGGGTTAAACATTAAATACTAGATTAATTAGGGATTAATGAGGGATGGTGGAAGGTTAAGCGTTGATTAGTGAATTAACGGAGGGTTAATGGTCTGGGCGTATGGTTCCATGTGGTAATCCTACGAAGGTCTACCGTGAGGGTTAAATGTGGATCGTGAGATGAGATTAATTGGTAAGCGAATGGTAGTGAGTGAAAGGTGCACGGTGGGTGATAGTGGGTGCAACATACACGATACAATAAAATGTAACAACAGAAAAAAACAACTTGATCCCTAATTCCCAAAATTCCTCCGTCTTCTCCCTCTTCGTCAATCTCCTTCGATCTCTTTCCCCGATCGACTTCTATCTTCTCCTCCCATGTTTAATCGCTCTCTTTCTCCTTGTTCTCTCCCGCTTCTCCTTCGATTTCCTTCACAAAAATCACGAAACAGAACGAAAAGAATATAACAGTTAATTAATAAACAACAACCTATGGTTTAAATGGTTCTGAAGGTTTCCAGCTGTGCTGATTTGCGAACGGCGCTGGAGTTTTGAGGGGTGTAGTTGGCACGACGACGGTTTGCGGTAGTATTCTGCGGACAGTTGAGACTCGACGGTGGTGGCTTCGAGCTCGGCCAGCGGTGGGATTACAAGATAAGTTCTCTCTCTCTCTCTCTCGAACTTAGGGTTTGGAATTGGGATTTTCTTGATGGTTCGGTGATTGTTGTGTGATCGTTTTGGGTTCAATGCTTTGTGGATTTTTTGTTGTGAGCCTTTCGAAACTGGGTTTTCGGATTTGCGGCAGCAACGATGGTGAAACAGGGTTTGAATACGATGGGGGGTTTTGTGTGTTTTCTCTGTTTTTTGTGAATGTCCCCTTATCTCAATCTCTTATCCCTTTATAGGTGCTCTGTGTACCTGAAAGAATTGATACGACATTAATGGTATATCGCTGCTCGTTTTGGAATGAAGGATCCTGATGGTAAAGTTTCCTTGATTTCGTTGAACATGTCTGGGCTGGTTTAAGAAAGAAGTGAAAGCTGTCTTGTACGCGTAATCCTTGTGGTGAGTAATTTCAAATCCTTGCCTTTTGTATTGATTATGTCTGATACGTGTCGTTAAGTCCCTAGTTCTTCCTTTTTGGTTACAACAGGTGTTTATTGCCGTTGACCAAAGTAGGAAATCGATTTTGGAAAGAAAATAACTCAATGATTCTTGTTACTCAGACTTGCTGGTTCTTTGCAACCCTCATTAAGTGGCTATTCAATGCAGGTGAAGGAAGAGGATACGTTCTTGATGCGGTATGCCTGAGTTGGTGGTGAATTTCGTTGGGGCAACTTTGCTGACTCGACTTTCAGCATGTTATCGTCTTATTTTCAAAATTTTGAGGAACTAACTGCTTGTGTTTGACAGGGTAAGAAGAGTACACCAAACGTCGACTTGTGTTCTTGTCGAGCAATCAAAGTATGAAAAGGGGTGATTCCACTCTCTATAAGGCAAGCTCGTACCATTTTTATTGAGATCATACAACATGTGACCGTTGTTTCCTCAAGCTGCTGTTACAGGCGGTGACGGGCTAATCTCGGCACCACCAATGAAATGCGTTCTTGATATAATAAACCCTGGCTGAGTTTGTGGGATTTCATGGTAAATTCTATTGATTCCTTAGCACTTTCTCTATTGACTAGGATGGTTTTATTTCCATTTCATAACAAAATTCTACTTTCCAACTGCAGGGTGCGATATTCCTGGCTAGAAATTGCGGCATTGGTGGTTGTACTGTGGAGATATGTTGGTGCTTGTTTCATACTACGGGTCAGTTGCAGGTTTTTGGCCATTTGTATTTGGCGTGAAGCTTGACAAGAAACGTGTCGACCTGCTTTTGATACGGATTGGCGTGATGGAGCAGCTTTGATGTTGCTTTTCTTGAGTGGATGGTATTCTTGGTACCGTTTTAATCTATTGACTTGATGAATGTAATCTGAGACTCATGGCCTTTCTCCCATGTATAGATTTCTGAACTTTCTGTCTTTGTTTCAGCTCAGGCAATATTCTTCTCTGTCACTTTTCATGTCAACTTGGGAGGCTTGAAATTTTAATTTCTTGTTTTAACAAAACAACTTCTATCTTGTTACTAATGGGAGTAAGGCTTAGGAATTCTCACGCGCATCAGATTTGCAGAGGTATCTCAATTCCTTTCTAAAATCTTTAAATAACATTGACATCGCTGCTGCAGCATAATCACATAGTTGTTACCGTATTGCAGGTGTTGGCTTCATTGGCAATCGCAGTCAGTGTTTTAAGTTTTAAAACCTCTTGAAGCAGGGTGTTGTATTGCAATGGTGGTAATGGTGTTTGCAGTCTGAGGAAGAAATGTGAGGGATAGGACAAAGGCGTAGCTTCCATGAAAGACTTCCGAGTGAAACAGTCAGCTTCGCATGACCTTCTGCTGATAGGTGACTTTTGTCTCGACTTCTATCATAGTTAAAAGAATTTCCATGAGGTTTATGCTTTTGCTCTGACTCAGGTTATGTCAATCCCGCCACGCAATCTTCGGGATGTATGGTCGCATTCTCACAAACTTCAAATTCTTCATGTATGCTCTTGTCTGATGGGTCTGGCATTGGTTGTGAATTTGTTACAGCTTAGGGAGATGCACTGGTGCGAGGATATTCTGGTGAGGTGTTCTAGTTCTTAGTGTCGTGAGTTCTTATGTTGTTTTCTTTTAGAGACTAATGTCGGACCTTGCTCTTGCAGGTAGATTAAGGGCTGGGTCTCACTTTAGTATTTGCTTACAAACAATGACAGTTTCAATTGATCTTTCTTGTTTTCTCTTGTGGAAGCTTGGCTTTGAATCTCACTTCTCCTGATGACGATAAATCTTGAAACAGCTGATAACAATGTGCAAAACTCTTCCCTCTCAGTTCGAGTCTTGGAGCCCGGTAATCCTGCTGTTACTGCTAAGGTATAATCCTCTTCTACACTTTGGCAATGATTTTACGGTCCAGGTTCCGCGTTTGTTTTGAAGTCAGACACCGCTCTGTGCCCAAAATTATTGGATGGCTCTTATGATGGACTTACCAACCACTGTACCGTGTCTTTTTTATCACCTTAATGAGTTTTTCGATGATAACACAAGTTTTCATTATGCAGCAACTCATTGCGAAAGAAACTTGAGATTGCGGCATGCTGAGACCTATTGAAAGGGGGTGTTGTCGTCTCAATCTCATGTTTCTCCTTCAATCCCACATGAACGTCGTATTTGGCGGTTGATTAACTGTGTATATGCTTCTAATTGCAGGAAACATTGGCAGCCTAACCGGTGCGGTAATTATAAATGCCAAATTCTGTAGGGGTTCCCCGAAAGTTGATTCGTTGTCGTCGACGACATCAGTCAAAAATCTTAAAACATCACAGGAACTCCCAGTAGGACAGCAGCATAGGCAACAGCTGCTGCTAGTTGGTGTCACCGAGGGGCTTCCGCAAATTGTCAGCTTCGAGTGAGTGCTTCCGTTTGACAGCACGCAACGCATCCTCAGCCTTGGATAGATGGAGATTCAAATTAAGGTTCAAAAATCAAGAGGGTTCCAACTGAATTGTAGTTATTAAATGAAGGTAACGAGAAGTGATGTTCAAAGACAGCCCGAAGCTTGCAATGTGACAGTTAGGAAGAACGGAAGTTTCTAAGCATTTCTGGCGTAAATGCTCTAGGAAAATAATCTTTAACCATACGTCCTTTTGCATGCTTTATGAGGCAACTTTCCTTGAGTATAATGCTCCTAGTGTAATGTCGTTTGTAAAGTGACTACTTGAATGTGGGTCCTTGAAAGAATATTAAATTTGATTTTTATGCTGAGTACTGTTGCAAATAATTCCATATGGATCATGATCTTGCCTTTTTAAACACTCCTGTGGCTTTTAGATTTAATAGAGGAGAAAGGAATAAAGACATCTTAATATGCAAGGCCTTTGAAATCTACTATGTGCAATGAAACGCTGGGGGCCTTCCATCCTTGAGGCACAATAATGCATCTCTCATTTCTTGTTTGTCAAAGCAATTGATTTGAGGTTTACGGTCTTGAACTTGATGAATGTTGGCGAAGCGACTCGAAACTCATTGGTAACATAAGGCCTTCATTTTAGTTATAACTTTGGATGAAAACTTAAAACTTGTATTTCCAGGAAAGAAAAGCTTTTGGAAGCTCTGAATTCAGCACTTTGTAAATCAAACCCTGACGTTGGAACGAGTCCATCGGTCGAGTCACGCCAATTGGTCATCTCGAGTCTGAAACAAACTTGAATGAAAACCTTAATCCCCAAATCCAATACTCCTTACTTTATAGAGCGACAAAACTTGAGAGGGGAATAGCCTTAACCATAATGGCTCCACAACTTCATCCTTTGCATCATGACTTATAACTTGTAACCAATCCCTTGTTTTAGACAAGCCCTTTGGACTGGCGGAGGGTAAACTCAAAATAAAATTTTCCAGAGACGTCTTTAAAGCAGAAAAAATGACCCTGCACAACTTGGTTAGTCGTAAAACAAAAGTATTAAATAAAACCTGAAAATGGGTGGAATCTTAAGGTCAAAAATTAGGGCGCGACAGTCTACAACAAGGCTTAAGTACATCATTGTAGTAATGTTGTTCAAAAAAACATAAGTCAAAACATGTCCAATGTCTACAATTTCAATGGTACCCATGTGTAGGGTTACTTCTTTCTCCCTTGAGCTTTTTGCATCTAAGTACCCTTGCTCTATCACTTTTCATCAACTCTAACTTCCGTGCGACATTTTGTTTGGGTTGTTTTACCTACAAAGACACAATACAAACAGATACAATTAGGCCAATATTAATAAAGCTGAGAACATACACATTAATTTAATTAGTCAGTGGTAGACTCATCTGGTTTAGGAGGCACAAAAATAGGTTCCTTAGGAGGAGGTGCATGAACAAGTTCATTAGGCGTAGGCCCAACCTCTTGAACAAGTGCAAAGAGAATGTAGTTTGGTTGTGAGTCACCAACCCCTTGTGAAACCAATTACGGATGCAACCTCAACAGTTGGAGCATGGTCACTAGCAACTTGAGTTGGAGTTGGAATTTGGGAAGTGAGATCATTGATATTGGGTTGAGTTTGTGTTCTTTCAAAAGCTGCACAAAGATCTGCTGCAAGCATTTCAAACTCTTGGTTTACATCATATTGTGTTTCTGGTTGTTCTTTAGTTGGAGGTTCATGTTGAGGTTGTTGTTGTTGTTCAGTAGAAGCTTCATTTTCAGCATGTGTTGTTTGTTCCACTACAAATCTATATTGTGTTTTTTGTGTAGCATTTTTCTTTGTTTTTTTTCTACACATAGAGTGATCCAGTTAATATCACTTGAAAACAGTTAGTAAGAATACATAATTGAGTTAAGTTAATACCTTTCTTTTCTGAGCTTCAGGGTCAGGCACCAGAACTGAACAACTCCTTGCATTGTGGCCATGTACACCATATTTGGTACAAAAATAAGATGTATGTATCCTTCCCCTATTAGGGTCCTCATCAGGTTCCCTCCTCCTTAATTTCTTTGATCTACCAGGGCCTCTTTTGTATGATGGAGGCAACATCTCCTCAGTATTAACCTCAGGCCACATGTCTTAGCCATTAATTGGGATAACATTGAAATCATAGCATGCCACATATGTTTCTTTAGAATAAAAATCATCTACATAGTCTTCAGGTTGTTGGTTCCTAAAGCCTAAGGCAACAACTGCATGTTTACATGGTATTTGATTCGCTGTCGCACACGGATCAAAAATGAGTACTTTTGAAAATATAGTAAACAGTTACGACAACTCGAGTATCGTTTTCAAGAATTCTTGTATTATTATTAACCAACCGATTGGAAAATGAGGGGTTTGATTTTCTATTAACAGAAAAATAGTGGGAAAAAAAGTGATTATCAATATAAGATGAAACAATTAATTTGCTGTTTTGGTTTCCAAACTTATCATTGACCCAAATAGTTCTCAATTTCTAAGCGGACTCTATTCCCTTTTTGATTATAATAACAACCAAAAATATACAATTGTTATTATATGACAGATATTCCTAATTTTCGAATTAAGAAAATAGATGAGATATAACAATTGTGAATTAAGCAAACACGAGAACATGCGCGGATTAAGTAAACACGATTAAAGTATAAGAACATGCAATCATCGAAATAAATCAATCAACCCTAAAATAAATCGAATTAAGAAAACAAGATATCAAAGAAAAGAATTGAAAGGAAATAGATTTTATTGAAAATTAAAATAACCTCAAAGTGTCGGCGGAAACTGATTACAACAGATCAATCCTCGAGATTAGTTCTCCATCGTAATCGTACAAAACTTTTTGAATATTACTTGAATAACACAAAAGGTAAAGATGAATAGTGTGTGTCTTCTAGGTTTAGGAATGCATCAAAAATTCCCCTTCTAACCCAACTAGGTCGAAAAACATAAAAAAAAACTCGGCCCAAAACTAAATATTCCTTAAGGTGGAATTCAGGTCCCGACTTCAACGAGTTATTTGACCATCTTTCACTCCGAATCAACTCTTGGCTTCAACATGAAACTTGTAGCTCTCTGTCTTAAATTTCCAACGCATATTAGAATGCTCAAAACGACATCTCGTAACTCCGATTATGATCCGAACAGTGGACAAGTATCAAATAACTGCTAATGCTGAAAATAAGTTGCGAAAATATATTAAAGGCAAACAAAGACTTAATTCTAAAATCACAATAAAACAGTAAAATAAACAAAACAAAGTAGGGAAATACCTAAGTACAAACATAAGATAATATGCATTAAAATGCACTGATCAAATTCCGCCACATTTAAACTTTTGCACTCCGAGCAAAATGATAAATTCAAAAATTCTAAACAAAACAAAATAAAGCATGCATTTCCAAATGTATTCAAGATACAAGGTACAAGTAAAGTTCTAAGTCTAAGTTTCAAGAATATGATGTTAGTGAGCAAATCTTTGTGACGTTCAGAGCAAATCTTTGTGACGTTCAGAGCAAATAGGAAAAACATATTACCAAAAAGTACATCAAAAGCCAAAAGATTCTCACAGGATAAAATTCACTCAACTCTCAAGTGTTTAGGCTAATTGTTTACACTCAAAGCACAACATGAAAGTTAGTACTACCATAAGCTTGAAAAGACTCTAACATCTGCAATTTAAATACATGCACACATAGATCAAAAGGACTTTTATTCGGTTGTAACTTGGCCAAGGTAAGGGTGAGATAAATCTTAAGGGGTACTAGGCTAAAAATCAAATGGTCAAAAGAAAATTGAAAGGATTACGGGAGTTGAACTACAGGATACATCAATTGCTTTCAAACAACAACCTCACGACTTATTTCTCTTCTCTTTTTTCCAAAAGGACTATGTAATGAAATCCTTCATAACATTTAGAACATCACAACAACATCACAAAAATGAAATTCAACCCCACGCAACTCCATACAAGTCTCTTTCAACCCTTGATTAGGGTGATAATTTTGTTTTTCAATTTTCGGCTTGTAATGAGTTAATCACACAAAAAAAAAGATAAATAGGCTCAAAGGAATTTTCAAACAAAGGGATGATATTGATCAAGATTGGTTTTTTGTGTGGCTAAGTGGCTAAAATTAAAACAAAAACAAGTCGCCTTGATCATACAGTGTACACAAGTAAACAAAAAGCATAAACAAGAGTTAATTTAAGTTCTAGAGACTAACAAACATGAGTGAACCACACAATAAGGAAAGAGATGGATTTTTGTATTTTATCCATATAAGGCTCAAAACTCACAAGAGTTAACGATCTATTACTAATGATGTACAATTCAGAAATTCAGAGTTTAGTCCATCATACTGAGAATACACAATAGATTTTTTTCACAACACATCAGAAGGCTCTAGTCAAGAGAACTATGAACAATACTCATAATTGTAACTCAAAAACCAAAGAAAAAGCATGCAATTTTTTTTTATTTTTTTATTTAAGAAACACAACCAAAATAAAGAAAACTGAAAACAAAACAAAGAAATTAAAACAAAAAAATAGTTCCCTCCCCCACACTTAGAACGTGCATTATCCTCAAGAAAATGACATAACTATTAAATAAGAGTGAGAGAAAGAAAAGAACACACCCGAATAGTCAAGGTGGATAGGTGATCGCATAAGCAGCCTTTCCAAAGAGAGATCTTCTATAGGTTCCTCTTCCAAAGTGGGGATGTCATAAAGTAACTTTGGGTAGCATCCATCGACCTTGAAACTTTTATTAGTGCCTTCGCCTGTTATTTCAGGATCAAAGAAGAATCTTCGATAAGTAAAAATGTCGAATGGACATGTAACACCATTTTCTATCCCACAATTATCATGCCAAAACAACACAGATATCAGAGTAAAATTATTAAATTTCATAAAAGCCATCAAAAGGGCGTACATTTCCCAAATCAACAAAATCAGTCAAGGCTCTGTAAACAACGGGTTTTCTCAAAATAATCAATTCGCACAAAGCAGCAGAACTCAAAGGCATAAATCAAGGTTTTCTCATCAGGGAAAATAAGAAAAATAACTCAACAATATATAGTTTAACTCAAAAGAACCCAACTCGATGTTACATATCAGAGCAAGACCCTCTAAGCTAACCAAAAGGCTAAAAACTCAAAAACTTCAAAAATACTCCTCGACGGCGTCCATGGCTAAACTTGGTCATCTGCACGTTACCCACGTGGAGGTAATATTCAAACATGCAGGGTGAGTAAAACAATTCATAATAACCAATGTATAAAAATCAACATATAAACGGCATCATATCTGTATTTAACACATTCATATCCTTCAATAGGCCTCGAAGGCCATAACATCATAATTTATATAAAAAGACTCATAAATGCAGATGCGAGATAACTCAATGCATGTGGTACCAATCATCACAGTTCGATGGACACTGGGCCATCAACCCTCCATAGATCCCCATCAATAGGATCATGAAGGTGAGAAAAATACTTAGAAGGGGGGGTTGAATAAGTATGATAAATAATCACAGATTCAAACACAGTTATTTTTATCCTGGTTCGTTGAACTCAACTACTCCAGTCCACCCTCTCAAGAGTGATTTGCCTTTCTCAGTCAAGGACTTAATCCACTATTTAATCAAACAGATTACAATAGTAACACCTAAGAACAACTGTTCTTAGTCTTCTCAAGAGCTGCTGATCCCAACTGGATCCTCTTAAGGAAACCTTTTACAATCAATGTAAAACTATTACAAGAGTAAGAATGCTTCTAAAAAGCTATTATCACAACTGTGATATTTCTCTTAAGTTTAAGAACAATGTTACAACAAATAAAATATAAGAGCTTTTGAGAGAATTTGCTTTGAGTGAATTTTGCAAGTCGTTTTTGTTGCTGAAGAAGATGGAGTGGACTTCTTTATATAGGCACTTAGATCCATGAAGTCTTCTCAACGTTGAGGGTTGTGCTGAAAAGCCTGGTGCCTTTTGTCTTTTACTTTGCAGAAACTTTCCTTATAATGGAATGCACAGATAAAACCTTTTTGTCTGTGTTCTTGTGTCTAGCATAAAAGAGGAAAGAGCTGTTGAGATATGTCAACGTACATATTCAAATCTTCTTCACTAAGTAAGTTCAGCTATCAACATCAGAGTCTGGATCTTCAGAATCTCCAGAGTAGAGATCTTTTGGATCTTCAGAGTCTTGGTATGTTCTTCAGATTATGCTGAATCAGAGTATATGCAGCTTGTGTGCTTGAGCGTGTAGTTCTGTCAGATCAGAGTCTTCTATATCAGATTCTCAATACTATGCAGCGCAGTATCTTCAGAGTCTTCTGATGACTAAGCTTCTGAACTCTCAGAGTCTTCTATTCTTTAGAGGCTTCTGCTTCAGAATCTTTAGTAGACATTACTCAGATTCTTCTGGAGGCAGCGTTCAGGTCTTCCTTTAAGATGCTCTTGAACCTTTGAAGCCTTTCATAATATCATTGTTCAGATCCAAATTTTCTCTTTTAAGAATATTTTCTTTAGTACCTGTGGCAAACAGTCTAGAACAAATTTAGAGTGTATAATTCTTGAATACAAAATTCATAAGTGTTATCATCAAAACATAGAGATATTACTGAAGAAACAATCTGTGTTCTTACAATCTCCCCCTTTTTGATGATGACAAAACATGATAAATTTTGTTCTATAAAAAGTATGAATTATAACTCCCCCTGAGATTAACAATCTCCCCCTGAAATAAATACTCTAATAGAAGAAAACACTTCCCTTTTTGATTAAGTATATTTCAGATTCAGAGCCTGATGCAAGAGGTTTGACTTTCAGAATCAAATCTTGATACCAGATAATTATGACTTCCTTTAGTCAGAGCGCCTGGTTATCATCTTGCTTGAATTATCTTTCAGAGTAAAGATATCAGAGTAAGATATCAGAGTTGATTGAATACTCAGATTTGCTTTGAAGATCAGGTTCTGGTTGGAAAAGTCTCAGGGTAGCTTCAATGAATTATGTCAGATATATCAATGTAATCTGAAAGACTTAAATTCAAAGTAAGTTAATAAAATGTCTGAATTTCAGTTTTAGTAATTG